CACAGATAATTATGGAGTCTGTCAAAACAGTATTGAGTCGACTAGTATGTCTCAAAGTCTAATATTATTATTATTCTTTAAATGTCTATTGAAAAATATTGTACATCCTAAATGCATAAGGAATTATGCATATTAAATTCTTTCCAGTCTTGTGGAAACAAGTGCGACCATTTCGGAGCACCGTCTATATTTTTCTCTGCGGCGTGAAATACATGCAGAGACATCTAGACATTCTCTGGTAAATTTTCAGCATTATCGACGAGAAATCGATAAAACAGATATCGATAACAATCATAATAATATATAAACAAATGATCTTATTCACATATCATTTTGTTGTTTTTATACGTTTTTCAAGATAGTTAATTATTAATTTTTACATTTTGAATAATTTTACACACTTTGATAATATTGAGGATATTCAAAGATGTCGCGTCTAAAGAAAAGTTAACGCAACTAAAAATTATCTCCGATAAAATGGCAGTCCGATTTTTCCAATTATTAATTATATATTACAACATTGATCGAATTATATTAATTTTATTAATTTTGAACGTTGTATTTCACGCTGCAGTGAAAAGCTATGAAAAATCTCAATATTTAGGCAATATGTACAATCCGCAGAATACAAATAATAATATTACATCAATGTTATATAATTTCCTACTTAACAATGTAACTGTTGTGTACAATTAATTGTGTTGTATCACCTCTACATCGTTGAGTGGAAAATTATTATAATATTAATAAAAAAAAAATTTCTTTGATTTGAACATCATTTCTTTAGTTTAAACATCACTTTTTGAGATCAAATACATTTTTTTATTTGATTTCAAAAAATTATGTTCAAATCAAAGAAATGATGTTCAAATCAAAGAAATTTTTTCTTTAACCGCAAAGAAACATTTCTTTGAATTGAAGAAACCTTTCTCTGGATGTACCATTTTATTAGAATCCATGCCATAGTATGTCACAGTGCAATAGATAATGTACGTAAAACTACAGTGAAATATATCTATATATAATTGTCAATAATACTGATGATGTAAGGTTGTAAAAATACTAAAAATGTTGATGCATACTGTCAGTATTATTGATTCAATATTACTGATCAGTATTATTGATCGTGTAGAGTCATCTTTAGTTTGTATTCTGCGGGAAGTAACATCTGCGTAAAGTCAGTAAAAAAAATTAATGACGTTAAATCGAGTACATTACGCAAAAAGTTACACAGAGAATGACTATACATAAAGAGCAAATAATACTATTGATCCAACTAATAGCTTAAACTACAATATCTTAAACTACAATATCTTACATTACTATGGAATATCTTACATTACGCAATATCTTAATTGCTACATGATTTTATAATTGCAGATTAATCAGCTTATATAAGCCGTACCAATAATTGGAGAGCGATCATTCCAGATTCAAATTTTAATCAGAATTTTGATCGAGCCTCATGATACGTTCCACAATGAGCGTTTTTGTTCTTGCCGAAATCATCATCAAAGTTGTCAGCTCCACTGTACATGGAAAAGCCACGACGAGAGAGCAGTTCTCCAGGCACGATCGTGGGATTGGTGTAACAGAAGTCCGCCATCATATTTGTCTGTCTGTTTAGTTGGTTGGACCTAAATCAATTTTCAGTTTCAACCTTAGCGACCGAATCATTACCACAAATGCAGGAGAGGAACGAGAAGGATTCGATAGAAATGATTATCATAACAGATAAATTTAAATCGATCGCTGATTGCAATGATAATTACAACGAGGAATGTCTCTCAGACATTATATAAAAGAAACATTAATACTCGTATTAGTAATGAATGATTAAAGCAATTACTGAACGAAACTTGGGCAAAAAAAAACTTCTTCGTGGCAGGAATAGATCCGGAAGTATTTTTGAACAATTACGAAAGAAAAGGAAACTGGACGAAACCAAGATATTTCTCTATGTAATAACAAGTAGTACTATTATATGATTTACTCTCTATACGATTGGAATAAAACCAAATCGAGATTATAACTAAATTGCACCTTCATGTTAAATATTTGCAAATAAACCAGAAATTATTCATTAATTAAAGTACTTTTTTGATTGTCTACCGCTTTGTGCTCTTGGATAATCAGATAAGCGAAATAATCACGGCAATAAAGATATACTATCAACCATTTCGTTGTTGGCTACGTGACTCACAAAAGAAACATGCGTATTTTCATTTTTTTTTCCTGCGGTAAAAAAACGAAAATGTCTAACTGTTCTCCGTTGCAGATATACATCAAGCATTTTTTTCTACTTTCCTTTCGCCATGCAGGTGCACTGCTAAATAAGTGAAGCAATCAAATAATCACGGATATCTTGCACGTAATACTCGATAATCATTGATTCATAAATGTATAGTTAATTAGAACCATTTCAACTTGCACAACTTTTATTCACTTTGCGAATAAATGGCCGGTATTATGGTTCAGTTTTTCGATTACTTACATTTATGCAATATGAAAAGGAAATGTCAGAAATGTAGAAGAATTGATTATCAAAAAAGAGACGTTTAGTTTATGAAGACGTTTCATGGAACTGAAGTTCATAAAACCGGATATTTCGCGTGCAATATATGGTGAAATACGTCGCCAACGATTCGCGATCGGACAGTAATATGTATTTAGCTACGGTACGATTCAACAACGTAGAAATTTTGAAACGCGTTACGCGAGCGGGGAGACGCACGTTGTCTTCGACTACGCACTTTTTTGCAATAAAGTATATGTCTGTCACCGATGAAATAGAATGTGAGTAACGTTAATCAATATTTAATGATGATAAGCATAATTAATATTTGGTAAATATTTAATGTCTTTGGAT